AAATAACGAGATTTCGAATCAAAATAATATTGTTCAAACATTATATTTATCGCTTGATTTTCTCAAATCAAAATTGAAAAGTTGAGCAAAAGGGGTAAAAGTCATTACGTGTCAGAAATGCTACCTACACTACTTGCCATTTAAATTGTGAAGCATTACAAATATACTGTTTTATTTATTGCAAGATTCGAAACGAAATACAAGAACTGACAGAGAAGACATCTGTGAAATAAAGGACAGCGGAACTGGATTAGGAGACAACTATGTAATAATGAAAAGGGGAACTGGAGGTAAGGACAACGGAGTGATAATAGAGAGGGGAACTTCAGGAGGAGACAACTGTGTAATAAGAGAAAGGGGAACTTGAGGAGGAGACAAATGTGTGTTAATGGAAAAGGGGACTTGAGGAGGAGACAACTGTGTGTTAATGGAAAAGGGGACTTGAGGAGGAGACAACTGTGTGTAAATGGAAAGGGGAACTTGAGGAGGAGACAACTGGGTGATAATGGAAAGGGGAACTTGAGGAGGAGACAACTGTGTAATAAGAGATAGGGGAACTTGAGGAGGAGACAACTGTGTGTTAATGGAAAAGGTAACTTGAGGAGGAGACAACTGTGTGTTAATGGAAAAGGGAACTTGAGGAGGAGACAACTGTGTGTTAATGGAAAAGGGAACTTGAGGAGGAGACAACTGTGTAATAAGAGATAGGAGAACTTGAGGAGGAGACAACTGTGTGTTAATGGAAAAGGGAACTTGAGGAGGAGACAACTGTGTGTTAATGGAAAAGGGAACTTGAGGAGGAGACAACTGTGTAATAAGAGATAGGGGAACTTGAGGAGGAGACAACTGTGTGTTAATGGAAAAGGGAACTTGAGGAGGAGACAACTGTGTAATAAGAGATAGGGGAACTTGAGGAGGAGACAACTGTGTGTTAATGGAAAAGGGAACTTGAGGAGGAGACAACTGTGTAATAAGAGATAGGGGAACTTGAGGAGGAGACAACTGTGTGTTAATGGAAAAGGGAACTTGAGGAGGAGACAACTGTGTGTTAATGGAAAAGGGAACTTGAGGAGGAGACAACTGTGTAATAAGAGATAGGAGAACTTGAGGAGGAGACAAATGTGTGTTAATGGAAAAGGGGACTTGAGGAGGAGACAACTGTGTGTAAATGGAAAGGGGAACCTGAGGAGGAGACAACTGGGTGATAATGGAAAGGGGAACTTGAGGAGGAGACAACTGTGTGTTAATGGAAAGGAGAACTTGAGGAGTAGACACCTGGGTGATAATGGAAAGGGGCACTTGAGGAGGAGACAACTGTGTGTTAATGGAAAGGGGAACTTGAGGAGGAGACAACTGGATGATAATGGAAAGGGTAACTTAAGGAGGAGACAGCTGGGTGATAATAGAAAGGGGAACTGGATGAGGAGACAACTATGTGATAATGGAAAGGGGAACTGGGGGTGGAGACAACTGTGTGATAATGGAAAGGGGAACTGGATGAGGAGACAACTGTGTGATAATGGAAAGGGGAACTGGATGAGGAGACAACTGTGTAATAATAGAGAGGGGAACTTGAGGAGAAGACAACTGTGTGATAATGGAAAGGGGAACTTCAGGAGGAGACAACTGTGTAATAACGCATAGGGGAACTGGAGGAGGAGACAACTATGTGATAATGGAAAGGGGAACTGGAGGAGGAGACAACTATGTGATAATGGAAAGGGGAACTGAAGGAGGAGACAACTGTGTGTAAATGGAAAGGGGAACCTGAGGAGGAGACAACTGTGTAATAACGCATAGGGGAACTGGAGGAGGAGACAACTATGTGATAATGGAAAGGGGAACTTAAGGAACAGGATGATAATGAAAGGGGAACTAAAGGGGGAGACAGCTGGGTGATAATAGAAAGGGGAATTTGAGGAGGAGACAACTGGGGGATAATGGAAAGGGGAACTTCAGGAGGAGACAGCTGGGTGATAATAGAAGGAACTTGAGGAGGAGACAACTGCGTGTTAATGGAAAAGGGGACTTGAGGAGGAGACAACTGTGTAATAACGCATAGGGGAACTGGAGAGAGACAACTGTGTAATAATAGAGAGAGGAACTTGAGGAGAAGACAACTTTGTGATAATGGAAAGGGGAACTGGAGGAGGAGTCAACTGTGTAGTAATAGAGAGGGGAATTTGAGGAGAAGACAACTGTGTGATAATGTAAAGGGGAACTGGATGAGGAGACAGCTGTGTGATAATGGAAAGGGGGACTGGATGAGGAGACAACTGGGTGATAATGAATAGGGGTACTTGAGGAAGAGACAACTTTGTAATAAGAGATAGGGAAACTTGAGGAGGAGACAACAGGATGATAATGAAAGGGGAACTAAAGGGGGAGACAGCTGGGTGATAATAGAAAGGGGAATTTGAGGAGGAGACAACTGGGTGATAATGGATAGGGGCACTTGAGGAGGAGACAACTGTGTGTTAATGGAAAGGGGAACTTGAGGAGGAGACAACAGGATGATAATGAAAGGGGAACTTAAGGAGGAGACAGCTGGGTGATAATAGAAAGGGGAACTTGAGGAGGAGACAACAGGGTGATAATGGAAAGGGGAACTGGGGTAGGAGACAACTGGGTGATAATGAATAGGGGTACTTGAGGAAGAGACAACTTTGTAATAAGAGATAGGGAAACTTGAGGAGACAACTGTGTAATAAGGGAAAGGGGAACTGGAGGAGGAGACAACTATGTGATAATGAATAGGGGAACTGTAGGTAAGGACAACTGGGTGATAATGTAAAGGGGAACTGGATGAGGAGACAACTGTGTAGTAATAGAAAGGGGAACTTGAGGGGAAGACAACTGTGTGATAATGGAAAGGGGAACTGGATGAGGAGACAACTATGTGATAATAAAAAGGGGAACTGGATGAGGAGACAAGTGTGTGATAATGGAAAGGGGAACTGGAGGAGGAGACAACTTTTCATTAATTGATAGGGGAACTGGGGGAGGAGACAACTGTGTTATAACGCAAAGGGGAACTGGAGGAGGAAACAACTGTGTAATAACACATAGGGGAACTGGAGGAGGAGACAACTGTGTAATAACGCATAGGGGAAATGGAGGAGGAGACAACTGTGTAATAACGCATAGGGGATTTAAATGAGGAGACAACTGTGTAATAAGGGATAGGGGAACTGGAGGAGGAGACAACTGTGTGATAAGGGATAGGGGAACTTGACGAGGAGACAACTGGGTGATAAGATATAGGGGAACTGGAGGATGAAACAACTTTGTAATAAGTGATAGGGGATTTAAATGAGGTGACAACTGTGTAGTAAGGGATAGGGGAACTAAATGAGGAGACGACTGTCTAATAACGGGACGGCGGAACTGGAGGCGAAAACAATTTTTTGATAAAGGATAGGGGAACTGGAGGAGGAGACAACTGAGTAATAACGCAAAGGGGAACTGGAGGAGGAAACAACTGTGTAATAACTCAAAGGGGAACTGGAGGAGGAGACAAATGTGTAATAACGCAAAGGGGAACTGGAGGAGGAAACAACTGTGTAATAACGCATAGGGGAAATGGAGGAGGAGACAACTGTGTAATAACGGAAAGGGGAACTGGAGGAGGAGACAACTGGGTGATAATGGAAAGGGGAACTGGATGAGGAGACAACTGTGTAATAAGGGATAGGGGAACTTGACGAGGAGACAGCTGTGTGATAAAGGAAAGGGGAACTTGACGAGGAGACAACTGTGTGATAAGATATAGGGGAACTGGAGGATGAGACAAATTTGTAATAAGTGATAGGGGATTTAAATGGGGTGACAACTGTGTAGTAAGGGATAGGGGAACTAAATGAGGAGACAACTGTGTAATAAGATAAAGGGGAACTGGATGAGGAGACAACTGGGTGTTAATGGAAAGGGGAACTTGAGGAGGAGACAACTGGATGATAATGGAAAGGGGAACTTAAGGAGGAGACAGCTGGGTGATAATAGAAAGGGGAACTTGAGGAGGAGACAACAGGATGATAATGAAAGGGGAACTTAAGGAGGAGACAGCTGGGTGATAATAGAAAGGGGAACTTGAGGAGGAGACAACTGTGTTTTAATGGAAAGGGGAACTTGAGGAGGAGACAACTGGATGATAATGGAAAGGGGAACTTAAGGAGGAGACAGCTGGGTGATAATAGAAAGGGGAACTTGAGGAGGAGACAACAGGATGATAATGAAAGGGGAACTTAAGGAGGAGACAGCTGGGTGATAATAGAAAGGGGAACTTGAGGAGGAGACAACAGGATGATAATGAAAGGGGAACTTAAGGAGGAGACAGCTGGGTGATAATAGAAAGGGGAACTTGAGGAGGAGACAACTGGATGATAATGGAAAGGGGAACTTAAGGAGGAGACAGCTGGGTGATAATAGAAAGGGGAACTTGAGGAGGAGACAACAGGATGATAATGAAAGGGGAACTTAAGGAGGAGACAGCTGGGTGATAATAGAAAGGGGAACTTGAGGAGGAGACAACTGTGTGATAATGGAAAGGGGAACTGGAGGAGGAGACAACTGTGTAATAAGATATAGGGGAACTGGAGGATGAGACAACTTTGTAATAAGTGATAGGGGATTTAAATGAGGTGACAACTGTGTAGTAAGGGATAGGGGAACTAAATGAGGAGACAACTGTCTAATAACGGGACGGCGGAACTGGAGGCGAAAACAATTTTTTGATAAAGGATAGGGGAACTAGATGAGGAGACAACTGTGTAATAACGCATAGGGGATTTAAATGAGGAGACAACTGTGTAATAAGGGATAGGGGAACTGGAGGAGGAGACAACTAAGTAATAATTAATAGGGGAACTTCAGAAGGAGATCACTGTGAAATAAGGGATAGGGGAAGTTGAAGAGGAGACAACTGTGTAATAAGATAAAGGGGAACTGGAGGAAGAGACAACTGTGTAATAAGGGATAGGGGAACTGGATGAGGAGACAATTGCATGATAAGGGATAGGGGAACCGGAAGAGGAGACAACTGCATGATAAGGGATAGGGGAACTGGAAGAGGAGACAACTGCGTGATAAGGGATAGGGGAATTTGAGGAAGATAGTACTGTGTTATAACGGACATGGGACCTGGAGGAGGAGACAACAGTGTAATAAGATATAGGGGAACTGGGGGAAAGACAACTGTGTAATAATCGGTGTGGGTACTGGAGGAGGAAACAACTGTGTTATAAGTAATGGAGGAACTGGAGGAGGCTGGTTGATAAGGGATAACGAAAATGGCGGAGGAGATTGTGGTTAGGATGTAGCAACAGTTATTTGGTTAACCTGGAATTATTGTAGCCATGATGTGAAAGTTAGATAATTGTCTGTAGAAAGTGTCTGATGACTCATCTCTCTACATTCCTATCCAGCATTTATCTGAGGAACAGTTTGGGCTGGACGGGATGGATTGGCAGCTGATCAGGTCTCTGTTTAATGGCTCTGCAGTAGAGGCTGATTGTATATACACTGTGTACCCAAATAGACTGACTACCAGGCACAACACAATCTACTGGCAAATACTACAATAAGTTATGAAGCATAGTGTTGGATGTGGGTTAAGAAGTTAGCGATATAGAGTACAAAGATGTTCCAATCTAAATTATTTGATGGTACTTTTAAACCTACATTGAGTGATTGAAGTTGATTGACGTCTTTAGAGAGTTTCGTCTGTATTGCCAATTCTGGAATGTAGATTCGTTTCTGCGAGAGTTTAACGAATTTACTGCCGCAAAAGTATATAGCCTTTAGGAGTGATACGTTAATAGTTTTGGCTTCCCCATCTCTATAAACTAGCTACTGGACATAACGTAACGTGCATCATCTGAGTGACTCCGGACAGCTTCAGAGGAAGAGAATGTTTAATGTTTCCACTGCTCTGAGGACTTTGGTAACAGCAGTATACTAGAATTGTATTACGTTCCACATAATTCATCATATGGATTGTGATATGGATAAAAAAAAATACCTGTTCTAGTTTGACATACAGTGTAAGATACAACAAAACGCTGCCTACACATGTACAGGTCAGTTTGGTCACGGACCAATTTTCAATATTTTATTATATAGCAACTGAATTGTGCTGACCATTTGAGCACAAACAGGAATGAAGAAATTTAATGGTATCACATATATCTACATTGAACTTGTATACTGCAGATGTGAAAATAGACAATACCTCACTTGATATGGCTTCATTGAAATCTCTATTGCAATTAAGTCAAACATGATTTATCTATGGACATGCATGGTTCCAAATGATACCACCGGATTAATAAGAACTACAGGACAACTACAACATATCCACTGCCCGTGGGCATCATAATTAAGGGGGATAAAAATGTTGAAACCATTTAAAATCTGTCAATCGCTTTTAAGACCATATCCTACCTTTGTTACTGGATAACTGACATAATACCTAACAATGGGCCGATCAGCAGGTCGTAAAGACTCCAGAAAACACGACCACAAGTCGCCGGGTGCTTCCTCCTCCCCAGACGTATGGTGTATTTTCAGGGTTAGGGGCGGGGCTCGTTTATCAGACACGCAGAGAATATCATGTTGTGACAAAGCCACGGGTGTATGTGAGGGAGACTTGCCAAAACGGCGTTGTTGGCAGCGAGGGAGGAGATGTTGCGAGGACAATGAATTTTCTGATGACAAGGAGGACATCTACACAACTGCTGGGGAATCGTCTGATATGGATGACAGTTCAGCAGAAAATAGCTATTGCTCCTACACAAACAGTGGTAAGTAATAAGTATAATTTACACTTGTCATATGACATCAAAGACTCTTCGTAAACATGGCACTACAGCAATAGTCTGTGTAAGTGTTACACTGTCACAACAGTCTGATATATATATATATATATATATATATATAAGTGCAACACTGTAACAACAGTCTGGTGTAAGTGTTACATAGTAACAGCAATCTGGTGGAAGTGTAACACTAACAACAGTCTGGTGTAAGTGGTACACTGTAACAACAATGAGGTGTAAGTGTTGCACAGTAACACAAGTCAGGTGTAAGTGTATCACTGTAACAGCAGTGAGTGTAAAAGAAACACAGAAACAACAGTTGGGTGTAAGTGTAACACTGTAACAATAGTGAGGTGTAAGTTTAACATTGTAACAACAATCTGTTTTATGTGTAGCACATTAACAACATTCTGGTGTAAGTGTTTCACTGTAACAGCGGTGTAGTGTAAGTGTAACACTGTTACAACAGTCTTGTGTAAGTGTTGCACAGTAAAAACAGTCTGGTGTAATTGTAACACTATAACAATAGTCAAGTGTAAGTGTAACACTGTTTCAACTGTCTTGTGTAAGTGTAACACTGTTACAATAGGCTGGTGTAAGTGTAACACTGTTACGACAGTCTTGTGTAAGTGTAACACTGTTACAATAGGCTGGTGTAAGTGTAACACTGTTACAACTGTCTTGTGTAAGTGTAACACTGTTACAATAGGCTGGTGTAAGTGTAACACTGTTACAACTGTCTTGTGTAAGTGTAACACTGTTACAATAGGCTGGTGTAAGTGTAACACTGTTACAACAGTCTTGTGCAAGTGTAACACTGCTACAACAGGCTTGTGTAAGTGTAACACTGTTACAACTGTCTTGTGTAAGTGTAACACTGTTACAACAGTCTTGTGTAAGTGTATCACTGTTACAATAGGCTGGTTTAAGTGTAACACTGTTACAACAGTCTTGTGTAAGTGTAACACAGTAACAACAGTCTGGTGTAAGTGTTACACATTAACAACAGTCTGGTGTAAGTGTAACACTGTTACAACTGTCTTGTGTAAGTGTAACACTGCTACAATAAGCTGGTGTTAGTGTTACACTGTTACAACTGTCTTGTGTTAGTGTAACACTATTACAATACGCTGATGTAAGTGTAACACTGTTTCAACTGTCTTTTGTAAGTGTAACACTGTTACAAGAGGCTGGTGTAAGTGTAACATTGTTACAATAGGCTGGTGTAAGTGTAACACTGTTACAACAGTCTTGTGCAAGTGTAACACTGCTACAACAGGCTTGTGTAAGTGTAACACTGTTACAACTGTCTTGTGTAAGTGTAACACTGTTACAACAGTCTTGTGTAAGTGTATCACTGTTACAATAGGCTGGTTTAAGTGTAACACTGTTACAACAGTCTTGTGTAAGTGTAACACAGTAAAAACAGTCTGGTGTTAGTGTTACACAGTAACAACAGTCTGGTGTAAGTGTAACACTGTTACAATTGGCTGGTGTTAGTATAACACTGTTACAACAGTCTTGTGTAAGTGTAACACAGTAACAACAGTCTGGTGTAAGTGTTACACAGTAACAACAGTCTGGTGTAAGTGTAACACTGTTACAATTGGCTGGTGTTAGTGTAACAATGTTACAACAGTCTGGTGTAAGTGTAACACTGTTACAATAGGCTGGTTTTAAGTGTAACACTGTTACAACTGTATTGTGTAAGTGTTACACAGTAACAACAGTCTGGTGTAATTGTAACACTATTACAACAGTCTGGTGTAAGTGTTACTCAGTAACAACAGTCTGGTATAAGTGTAACACTGTTACAATTGGCTGGTGTTAGTGTAACACTGTTACGACAGTCTTGTGTAAGTGTAACACTGTTACAATAGGCTGGTGTAAGTGTAACACTGTTACAATAGGCTGGTGTAAGTGTAACACTGTTACAATAGGCTGCTGTAAGTGTAACACTGTTACAACAGTCTTGTGTAAGTGTTACACAGTAACAACAGTCTGGTGTAATTGTAACACTATTACAACAGTCTGGTGTAAGTGTTACACGGTTACAACAGTCTGGTGTAAGTGTAACACTGTTACAACTGACTTGTGTAAGTGTAACACTGCTACAATAAGCTAGTGTAAGTGTTACACTGTTACAACTGTCTTGTGTAAGTGTAACACCATTACAACTGTCTTTTGTAGGTGTAACACTGTTACAATAGGCTGGTGTAAGTGCAACACTGTTACAATAGGCTGGTGTAAGTGTAACACTGTTACAACAGTCATGTGTAAGTGTAACACTGTTACAACAGGCTTGTGTAAGTGTAACACAGTAACAACAGTCTGGTGTAAGTGTTACACAGTAACAACAGTCTGGTGTAAGTGTAACACTGTTACAATAGGCTGGTTTTAAGTGTAACAATGTTACAACTGCCTTGTGTAAGTGTTACACAGTAACAACAGTCTGGTGTAATTGTAACACTATTACAACAGTCTGGTGTAAGTGTTACTCAGTAACAACAGTCTGGTGTAAGTGTAACACTGTTACAATTGGCTGGTGTTAGTGTAACACTGTTAGAACAAGCTTGTATAAGTGTAACACTGTTACAATAGGCTGGTGTAAGTGTAACACTGTTACAACTGTCTTGTGTAAGTGTAACACTGTTACAACAGTCTTGTGTAAGTGTAACACTGTTACGATTGGCTGGTTTAAGTGTAACACTGTTACAACAGTCTTGTGTAAGTGTAACACAGTAACAACAGTCTGGTGTAAGTGTTACACAGTAACAACAGTCTGGTGTAAGTGTAACACTGTTACAATTGGCTTTAAGTGTAACAAGGTTACAACTGTAGTCTGGTGTAAATGTAACACTGTTACAATAGGCTGGTTTTAAGTGTAACAAGGTTACAACTGTCTTGTGTAAGTGTTACACAGTAACAACAGTCTGGTTTAATTGTAACACTATTACAATAGGCTGGTGTAAGTGTAACACTGTTACAATAGGCTGGTTTTAAGTGTAACAAGGTTACAACTGTCTTGTGTAAGTGTTACACAGTAACAACAGTCTGGTGTAAGTGTAACACTGTTACAACTGTCTTGTGTAAGTGTAACACTGTTACAATAGGCTGGATTAAGTGTAACACTGTTACAACAGTCTTGTGTAAGTGTAACACTGTTACAATCGGCTGGTGTAAGTGTAACACTGTTACAGCAGTCTTGTGTAAGTGTAACACTGTTACAATAGGCTGGTGTAAGTGTAAAACTGTTACAACAGTCTTGTGTAAGTGTAACACTGTTACAACTGTCTTGTGGAAGTGTAACACTGTTACAACAGTCTTGTGCAAGTGTAACACTGCTACAACAGGCTTGTGAAAGTGTAACACTGTTACAACTGTCTTGTGTAAGTGTTACACAGTAACAACAGTCTGGCGTAAGTGTAACACTATAACAATAGTCAAGTGTAAGTGTTACGCAATAACAACAGTCTGGTGTAAGTGTAACACTATAACAATAGTCAAGTGTAAGTGTTACACAATAACAACAGTCTGGTGTAAGTGTAACACTGTTACAACAGTCTTGTGTAAGTGTAACACTATAACAATAGTCAAGTGTAAGTGTTACACAATAACAACAGTCTGGTGTAAGTGTAACACTGTTACAACTGTCTTGTGTAAGTGTTACACAGTAACAATAGTCTGGTATAACTGGAACACAGTTTCAACAATCTGCTGCATGTATAACTATTGATTTATTTATGAATCATTACATTTTTCTATTTTTATAGTTCAATGACATATAGAGTAAGACATTATATACGTATGGATCAATTTTACCTTTGTATACAAATATAAATGTTAATGATAGAGGGTCGATTGGATCTGAACAGGTCGTCATACCGATTGATATGGTATACCGACTAGTTTCGTCTCGTAAGCTGCGGCTTTATTGGAACACGTGTTACAACAAGGGTTCGTTAATTAGTTATCACGGACTGTCCAGTCATGGTGTTACATTGGACTTTTAAAGTTATCGTGCTGCAATCTGCCGGAAATACTGCGGTAAAAATTGAAGTCATAAAATTACAGAAATATCTTAAGTATATTGTTATGAGAAGATTAAAAATCCCATTGACTTATGTCAAGTGTAAGCGTGCAATGCCTGCTTTTCCCGACTCCTACTTTTCTCACCACGCACAGGCCATGTTTAAATTAGTGTTTGACTGGGTCAGAGCTTCACTGTAATATTAACATAATACTACATGTTCGATAGGGTCAAAGGTAATGTTTATTCAACACACGTGCCGTCATCTTAATTGACTTTAGTTAAGATGTAGTATTAACAAAAGTTGATCGTTATGGCAGAAAAAGCATGCCAAAAATTGACAATAATTACCGTCATTTCAAAGGAGCACGTTGGAGCATGCTTGGCATTATGTAAATCATCGAATTTTTTTACGGTACGTAAGAAAATCAAATTTAATTTCTTTTTGTTTTATTTTTTTACACCTTTCACGAATTAGCATGAGAATAGTATTAACGGAAAAATAATATACTTTGCTACATGTATGTAAGAAAAAATGCCAGTTTTATCCTTCTGATTTGAAAAAAAAGAACGAAGGTTAGAAGATTTAAATCAAATCTTGTCACTCCACACAAGCCGGGTAGCTGGAAAAGCCAGATTAGTTTGTACCTATCTACTTTGAATAACCTGCTATGTATGATACACTTGTCCTTTGCCGTGTAAAGACTAGCCACGGGTGGTATTATAGTTTGTAACAACTCACGTGCAGGTAAAGAGCCTGATTGGATTTATCATGTTTTGATTGTGTCTCACCCCGAATTGTTGTTAGGAATTAGATATGGTCAATTTGCCGCTGATAGCATGTCTTGTTATTGTTTATTTTGGACAATGACAAAAGACAAAAACATCGAAATGTAAACATCATGATTAGTGTAAGAATTGTATCTATGCTTTTCTATACAACTACTGAAATGAA